CCTGCTGAATGTTTACTTTGTTTCCAGTTTTATCACTATGAAAAATAAATTGGAGTTAATATCATGAAAAAAATCTTTGATGGTTTTCAGATAGATTTCTAGTAAAAATCATCTATTCAAAAAAATACTTTAACTTAAGTGCTGTTTTTTAATATAATTGTAAGGGAAACACATGTATATTTTAGAAATACAAAACAGGACAAGAATTGCATTAAAATCACCCAAGATCTCAACTACCATTAAACATTTGATATTGGCCTCTTTCCAGGATACATATTTTAAAAATCTGTGTTGTGGGGCCAGCAGGTGGCATGTTAAAGTCACTGGACTCCCAAATGGCCAACCGTGGTTTGAGTCTGGACCTGGTAGCTTGCTTTCTCACTTTCTCTCTCTCTCTCTGTTCCTCTCTGGTCAAATGAAAATAAATCAACCAATAAATAAATAAAATCTTTTAAAACAATTTTGCATTGTATTTGTATTGGTTTATATACTGCCTTAATATATTTAGCATTTCCTTCCATTCTTAAAAATCTCTTAAGAGGATTGCTTCACATATTCCATAATTCACTCTCTTGCTGGACATTTAAACTATAAGGAAATTATTGTTAAAAATTAGGCCACAGCAAATATCATTTGTTTATAAATCTTTGTATAGATCTTTGAGTAGTGCCTTATATTAAGATCTTTACCAGTCTGGGCCAGCAGGTGGCGCAGAGGTTGGGTCACTGGACTCACATGCAGATGGTGGATTGAGTCCCAGACCCAGTGGCATGAGGATCACGCCGGGGCATGTGCTCATGTGCCCGGGATCCTAAAGAGGAGAATGGAGGAGGACGGATTGCAATGTCCCCTGTGGGGACATCCCCTCTCACTTTGCCTCTCTAGTGAGTATACAGACCCTATGGCAAAAACCTAAAAAAAAAAAAAAATTTAACCATAGTTTAGGAATGTTTTTTGGGGGGTTGCTCTGTTGGGCTCCTTGGACATTCTAGCCAGCCACGAGTCTCCCCAGTCTTTACCTCTGACCTTTGGGTGATGCCGTGCTCATGTTTGTCTAGTGGCCTGTCTTCTTTCAAAGTACCCATGCGGGCCGCCAACAGGTCTCTGGCAGCTCACCTCACTTGTGGGCCTCAGCTTTGCCAGCATCTTTTAACTGGCGGCAAGATGCAGCGGTGCGGTTACTGCAGAGTAGCTGGTTCCTACAGGGACCAGCAGGAGGCATGATGGCTAAGGCACTGGATTCCTACATGGAAGGCCGCACTTCCAGTCTCAGACCTGCCAGTTTCAAAATGACTCCAGTGCATGTACATGTCCCTCAAGTCCCGAGAGAAGGGTTTATGGCATGGCCATCCTCCCAGGGGAAATTTTCACTTATTCCTCTTCTGCGACAGGCATACACATCCTATGACAAAACGGAGCACACGTGTACATTCTCTGACAACGTCTGGCATGTAAGTGCTAGCCTACCTCATTTAGCTCACAGGACCAACATTCTAAGTAACCCATGCAGTGCGAGAAATCTAGGTTGCTGCTTATTTTGAAGTAAAATGATAATGTATGATGTATGGCCCTATTTTGCAACAAAATGAAAAACAGCATTTTAATATATTTGGCATCCTGATACAAATTAGCAATTTACCGAAATCCTGACTCTTGCTGATGGTGGAGGATGCCTACACAGACCCGTTTTAGTTTCTTTCCCTTTAACTGCCCACTTTGGGGGGGAGGGGAAACTAGCTGCAGAAAAACAAAATATTGAGGTTTGCGCTCAATATAGCTTGTCCTGTTTCGCTCCGCTGAGGTCTCCCAGCCAGCACAGTCACTTTAGTTCCAGCCGTTACCAGACACGTTGCCTGGATCTTCTCCCTATCTCTGTAGAAAAAAATCATCACCTACTTCTCTGTGCCTGATCTAGAAGACTCACTCCAGCCTGACGATTCTCCAGGTGGGTACTCATCCTTTTGTTTCAGCCTGCGATTGTTTTCACAGAACTTGAATGAACCTAGCTATGAACCTGGCTCACCGGATGTATAAAATACCGAACTTGCTTTGCTTACCGTGGACCCTTTCTCTATCTCATTCCTGGATATAACCAAGATTACAGCCAGCCTCCCTCCCTCCAAGAACAAGAAGAAAAACCCACCACATAAGAACTATCTTGAAATGAAACTACAAGTTTTCATTTAGAACTGGGGCTGGCCAACTTCTTAAAAGAACTAGCAGTAAATACCTTCATCTCTGGGCCAAATGGCCTTCCACAAGCACAGCATAACTCACTGCAACACCAAAACCGTCAGAGACGCTATGTGAAAGAGCGGGCACGGTCATGTGCTAATAAAGTTTTATTTACCAAAAACAAAAAAACTACTTTTGAATTTGTCCAGCATTATGTGATAACTCAGTCAAAAAAAAAAAAAAAACTACTTTTGAATTTGTCCAGTATTATGTGATAACTCAGTTGTCAAGCATAAGGTGGGACAGTAATCCTCGACACAGTCTGACACACAGCAGCACACATGAGATATGTCTGCACCAGTAACCTGGGGAATCTCACGTGCCAGTATTTGGAGAAACTTGCTTTTCTACAGAACGTGTTTATACAGGTTGCACCTCCCTAATTGGAATCGGAAATGCCTCAAAATCCGAAACTTCAAGAACACTGATGAGCCACGGTGGGAAATCCCACACCTGACCTTATGTGATGGGTTGAACTGCCGCAATACAAAGATGACCAGAAGGCTGCCCTTGGCCTGTATGCGGTAAGGTGTCTATTAAATATGTCTGGGTCTGCCCTTGGGTCCCATCCCCAAGGTAGCTCATAGAGATGTAAATATTCCAAAATCTAAAACATCTCAGAGGAAGGAGAGCCAACCTCTGGCGTTAACACTAAAGGCGAGACATCTAGTCTAGAGCCACTGCAGATTATATCTTAGTGACCTTGGAGAGTTCTTTCACATTTGTGTCAGTTTCCTCTTCTGTAAAACAGGAAAAAACCTTACAGGATGTTGTGGGAATATTTCTTTGAAAAAGTTACAAATTCTATAAGTGTAAATTCTTTAAAACAATAATTGTGGGAAGAGCATTAGGAATTAAAAGCAAAGAACTTCCCTATTAGGTTAATTATAAGAAATGGGCTTTCAAGGGAGATGTGAAATTCCCAGCATGCCATTGAACTGTTGGAAAGCAGGACAACTTTCTTACAAATGTTAAATACTCAACTTAATTAGAAATGGGCTCTTAAGCTTCCTTTACTCTTTGATTCTATGACTTACCCAGTCGGCCAAGGTCAGATCTAGATTTCCCAGTGCCAAACTCACTGTGCACCAGTTACCGCGTCTCACAGATAAACGCTGGCACACACCAGACTAAAACAACAGTACCGCTGAGCTCAATTGAGAAAACGGGTTGATTTTTGTTTAAATTCTCCCTGACAGCGAGGTACACTATCTAACTTGAGGTTTCTCCAACTTAAAAGGAAAATAAAATCTGTTATTAAAAACTGTCAGATGTAGAGACCAGCAGTTAGCATAATGGCTATGTTGCTGGACTCCCATGTAGTTGACCGCGGTTCACGTCCCAGACCCGGTGGCTTAAAACTTATGCTGGGTGTGTGTGCGTGCGTGCCCAAGATCCCGAGAGGAAAATGAAGGAGAAGGGATTACAGGCGTGGCCATTCCCCCTGGGGGGTGATTTCTCGCTTTCTGTCTCTCTGTCTCTCTCTGTCTGTCTGGCGAGCGCACGCACCCTATAGCAAAAACCTCTCAAAAAAAAAAAAAAAGTCAGATGTGTTAGTACAAAAATATTGTTGTATATGCTAAAGAGTTGTTTAAAGTGCACCTGAATGTTAAAATACACCTTTAAATCTGTCACTGTGCAGTTGTGTAAGTAATCTTTCCTAATCTAAAGTTCGGGTCACCTTTTAGCAGTTACACATAGGATTATCTGTTTTTTTAGACTTTGACCAGTACATCTCCTATGCTGCTAAAGTTCTGCACACTAAAATGTAAACTTAAAATTTAATCAAATAGCCTGTCAGCTGTAGTTAGTTGCTTTCCTTATGATGAAGTGACTCTTAGGAGCCATATAATCTCTACAAATACTTTGCTTAATACGTACATCCATACTTAACTATCATATCACTCTGGATATTTGAACCTTTCACACACTGCGGTCTAATTGAAATAATTTACAATATATAGGTTTTCTTCCATCTCAGTAACTGTTTTCCAAAAGTAATATAAATTAACCTAAGCTTTCTGAAAATCAGTTACACTTGATTTGTGTATTAGGCATAATTTTTTTATTAAACTAAAATTTTAAATGTTCAAATATAACTCTCAAAATTTAGGTGACTGAAAACTAGAAGTGCATAATATGATGCCTCACACTGTCCTTCCCCAAACAGGCTGGATTCTATCTACTTGATTTATACACTGTGACTTTTTCCTGCTGTTTTCTATCAACCTTAATTGTGAAAAATGGTGCCATGTTGCCCTCTTGATATTATTTTGGAGATCAGTTAGGTCTTAAAGCATCCAGATGCATACAGTTCTACAAATATCTGTAGAATTAGCTCACCAAGGTCTGCTCGGCAATATTTTTAATTGACTTACATGTTCTGTGGGAAAAGAAGAATCATAAAGAGTCTTGGCAATTGCATTCCTCTCTTCACTGGGCTCCCCCTTGGGATCTGGATGGATACTCCAGTTATTCAAAGTGTCAGCAACTCTGTTAATGCTGGTCGTATCTGATGGACAAAGAGGAAATGGTAATGACTGAATTTCATTCTCGAGGTGCTCATTTTGGTGGCTGAACTAGTTTCACTCTAATCCGGTGCTTTTCTATTTAAAAAGCAACAACTTTTTACAGTGAATATTTGATAGTTTTCCTAGACTTTGTTCTTAAGCAGTTTATTTCAGAAAACAAACAAGATTATATTGCTGCTTTCTAAAACCTGTTGACAACTGTCATTTCACATTAGAAGTACCGAGATGATATAAATACCTTCTACAACCACTTCGAAAGTTACCATACTCCCCTGGTCACTGCATTGCCCACACGTGTAAACATTCATACAGTGAACCTTCTAAAATCAAATCAGATTAACAAGGAAAGTCTGAGCCAAGTGGACACTGGGTTTATAAACTATACTTAAAGAAAATGCCCATAGCAAGAAGCCCAACAAAGGGCTGTTTAGAAGGGGTGACCGGGCTTTATAAATGGATAAAAATAATTTAGAGAAGCATGTCAAATACAAATTTTAAAAGAGACTTGGGTAGGCTTAAGAGTATTTTACAAATTGAATTTCTAAAGATTTTTGAATATCTCCCCTTATATCTTATTTATGTTTATATTGTTGGCATTTTAACTTAAAAGACCTCTGAGAAAATGGTAAATGTTAGACCAGCTTCCTAAACCAGTTCTTGACTAATTCAAAATTAATGGAATCTGAAGTAATGCATCTTACTATATCAAAAATTAGAGTTTAGGAAATGTGGTTGCATAGACTTTTGGTATTTATTTTTCCACACATTTCTCCCCATTAGTACTAGCAAACAAGACGTACTTATTTTTGTTTTTAATCCCCAAATGTAATTTTTAAATTTGTCTTTTTTTAAAAAAAAAAAGCCAGCTAAACCTGAGGACCAAACACAGCTTTCATTATAATCCGCATTTCTCTAATGCAGAGAAAGCACACTGTTGAAACCATGAAGCTCCTTTAAAATCCAAGAATATCTTTAATTACCTTAACAACTTTGACTGTGAGATTGCTTACAATGTAAACTTATTTTCCACAAGATCCATACATCTTCTTTTAATTGCCAAAGGGTGCATGTGTTCAACAGAAAAAGCACCCTCTCATTGGGTGTGGCCACACTGCAATCCCTTCTCTATTTTGCCATCCTGTCTGGACCTGAGGCTTGGCCACTCATGGGTCTGGCATGATTTTTATGCCTTCAGGACCAAGATTTTTGCAGTGTGTAGGATCCCATAACTACTCGGCTAGGAGACAGGCCTGACTCACACACCTTAAACTATTTCGTTGTGCTATCTTTGATTTATATACAGCATCTATTCACTCAAACATTTATATAGTGAACCTTCTAAAATAAAATTGGATTCATGATGGGGAGTATGTTTTTTATTTGAAAATATTTTTATGAAAAATTTCAAAAATAAGAATAGAACTTCAATATCCATCAACATAAAATCATGTATTTTATCCATTAACCTCTCTCTCCCTATTTAAAAAAATTTTATGGAATACTATAAGGCAAAACTTGGACATTATGTTGTCTCATGTGGTAGTTTTAAAGAATAGAACAGCCCTTCTATTCTCTAAGGTATTTCATATTTGGATATATCAATATAGACACATAATGATTAAGGAATTCAATCTGAAGTGTTTGAAACAGTGCAAATATCAATGACATGAAATAAATTAATGTTATGCGTTACTATTACTTATAAACAAGAGAAGAAAGCTAGATTTGCGGTGCTGGTGAAGGGAAAGATAATGGAAAGATTAAGAAGAGAAGAGAGCTGGACGATGAAAGTAACAGTCTAGCAGAGGACATTTCTAAGGGCTCAAAAGGAAAGGAGCACACTGCACTTTGTCAGACGCCTCATCAGCTACTTCCCTGCATGTGCTCTGGAAAATAAGGATCCGATCAGGTAAGCTGTTCCTAATTTTAAGTCAATAACCCAGGTATTTTGGGTTTTTTTGCTATTTCTTCATGATAAAAATGTTTCGTATTTCCAAAATACAATGGCATGCGTTACTATTGGCCCAGATATAGGTAAAAATATCCACTTCAATTTAAATAAACTTTTCCTACTTTTGCGTAGATACATTTGTCGAATTGATAATATTAATGTATATGTTAATTATATTAAACATTTTCATTGTAAACAACCTATCTGGAGAACCTTTATCAAAAGTAGTAAGTATACAGCGCCGCTCTCTTACCTGGTACATCCTTGCTGACATTCTCCTCACCACCATTTTCACGCAGACTCACTGAAACGCTCTTTCTGTTTTCTGACGGCCCTACCAGTCTCTCCCTCAACAACAAGGGAATCCTGCACGTTGAAGTGCTCGCTGTCTGACTTTGAGCTTGATTTACTTTTGGCCAAGGACCAGGATCTAAAAAATCTGTATATACTAGAGTTTTCTCAGTTTTTTTATCTGAAGTTGAAAGATCAAAGGCTGACCTTCCACTTCTGTTTACTAAATCTTCTGATGGCTTTATATGAAGTGAATGGGATTCTTCCAGCTGTTCTTCACTGTACATTTTTCCTGAAACTGGGTCATTTAATGACTCTGTTTTCTTTGTATTATTTGACAGTGTATGCTGTCTTTCGTTAACATCCACAAAGAAGGGGTCATTTTTTGTGGCTTCAGTTATCTGATTCTCGTCAGTCTGAGTCTCTTTACTGGGGAGCGGAATTCCTGTGGAAGCCTTTGTGTGGACGACAGTTCTTGCCTCTTTGGCTTGTGGAGCGTGGCTGTCCTCGCTGTCAGCCTGAAGATGGCAAGTGGCCTTCCTGCTCTTTTCTAGACAGCCCCAGCAGCTCTCAGATGGCCGGTCAGGCGTGCGAGGTTTCATATTCATATCTTTCCATATATTTCTTTCCCCCGGCCTTGAGCTGGATTTCGCCAACACAGGCGTAATGTTAAGACTTTTATCTGAATTCCTAAGGAGTGCTTTCAAATGCTGCTCAAGAGCAGCAGGGGAAACAGGGTGATCTGCCACTCCATGGCAAGGAGCCGCCTGCTCAGGTCTCTCTGAAGTATCACTGCAAGGGACCTGCTGAAAATTGGAGGTTTGTTTCAAAGATGACAGGCTGCTCTTACTTTTTTTATTTTGCAGTTGCATTTGCTTTGTTGTACACTGTTTGCCACCTATCATCACATTATTTGAATCCTGTAAACTAGATTTCTGACACTGAACAAGATTTATCTCTTCATCAAGAGATGAGTCCAACTGCACTTTGTTCTGGTCACTGTCTATAATTTCCATCTCAGTAGCATCTTCTGGAATGCCTGGAAGCCGACCGTACTGTTTGAATGGCTGGTTTTCAGGAACAGCTCTCCTGTCCTCTGCATCGTGAGCCATCCCCACCAGCACACGGGGAAGTGACGTTTGGTTATTTTCAACCTCAGGATGCCCATCTGCATGATGAATGTCTAATCCTTCGGTTCTTCCTGGAGGTGCTTGCTCTGTTTCTACTGGCTTATTCGCGATTAAAAAAGGTTTACTCACTGATTTAAATCCTGTACATTTGTCGTCTTTTTCCAAACACACAGTGTCTTTTAGCTCTGTAGTAACTGATTGTAAGTCAGCCACATTCAAGACTTGTCCTAGTCTGGTGACTTCTTTATCGAGGCAGAGGATTTCACGTAGAGGGGTTTCACTTTGATTTTCATCCTGAAGGAAGGCAGTACCAATCTCATTCTTGAAGCATTTTTCAAAAAGTTGCAAATCTATCATGATGAGAACACAGTAAAAATTTATATTATATTCTCTTTTTTTTGTTTGTTTGAGAGGTTTTTGCTATAGGGCGTGTGTGCTCGCCAGACAGACAGAGACATAGAGACAGAAAGCGAGAAATCACCCCCCAGGGGGGATGGCCACGCCGCAATCCCTTCTCCTCCATTCTCCTCTCAGGATCTTGGGCACACACGCACACGCGCCCGGCGTGAGTTCTAAGCCACCGGGTCCGGGATGCGAACCGCGGTGGACTACGTGGGAATCCAGCGACATAGCCATTACGCTAACTGCTGGTTCCCAAAATTTATATTATATTCTAAAACCTGTTTTTATAAAACATATACATCACCTATTTTTATAAAAACCTATTTAGCATTACAAATTTCTTTAGACAATAATTATATAACAAAATGACATCAACTTTACCTAAATATTCAGTTCCCATTAACAAGCATAAATTGAGTATGCTGAATATTCAGTTCCCTCCATGTTACATTCTTATCTCATTATTAGCAAAAGTATTTTTTATTTTAAAATGTGGAAAGAAGTTGAGGTTTTATAAAATGGTTTTTATTCTCTAGTGAAATTCCATAGAAATACGTAGCTGATAAAAATCAGTTTATCCTAACAGGTTACTCTAGTTTCAATTACTTCCCATGTCCAGCAGTATCTAGACATTGTTGCTAGCTTCCTCCAGATTGACAATCAGCACTTTTGTATTCACTACCCTGTGTCTCTTTAAAGTTTGGAATAGCCTGGGACAATTGCATACAATATCTACTTAACCAAGGTATTAATTTTATTCATCTATGTTCTAACCATAGATTTCAAATTCCTAATGTTGTCGCAATATCTGGAATACAAAATTTCAGGACTGGAAGGACATTTTTACCCTCTTGTTCTCTCTACAACATCTCCACCAAGTGGCTGCTTGGTCTAGGCTTGAGCACCTGTAACCAGTGCCATCTTTAAACTACTCTTTTTCAAGACAAAAGACTCAGGAAATTACTTCAGTGGTTAAAGAAGGGTTGTTGGAATTCAGAAAAGTGCTCAAGGTCTTGGCATCAGCAGGCTACTGATGACCCTAGGGAGCTCACACTCAGCAAAGTGAAGGCAAAAAGCCAAGTAGTACATAATGAGAAGGGAGATAGAAGATAGTTTTCTTAGAAAATATTGATTACAAAATAAATATATCTGTATATTTATTAATTGTATATATATGAATATATATGTATATGTGATATGAATATATGTGTACATGTATATTACATATATGCTGAATGTGTGTGTGTGTGTGTGTGTGTGTGGTGGGTGGAACCAACCCAATATATGACTCAGAAAACAGCCATATAATTTTACCTTCTATAATGATTTCTTCTACAGGGAGACCTTCTTTCTTTTCTTTCTTTTCTCCATATTCAGTATCTGAACAAAAACTTTCAGGATTTCCTTCTCTTATCGCTTGCCCAAAATTGTATTTCTGTATAATGGTGTTTTCTGATTTTTCAGTTGACATTTCACTGTTTGTATTATTTACTTCTGGTATATTCTAGTGTAAAGTGAAAAAAATTCCTTTAATGTAAAAATAGATTTTTTTCATTATTATTTAATTTTATTTTTTCATTCATTTATTTTTTTAATTTGACCAGAGAGAGGCGTGGGGGGGGGAGGGACAAAGGAAGCCGCCAGGTCCGGGACTCAAACCGTGGTTAGCCATGTGGGAGTGTCCAGCACCTTAACCTCCACACCACCTGCTGGCCCCAAAAACAGACTCTTAAAAAGTATAAAGCATCTGAGAAATTTTTGCTGAGAAAAGCAGAATCTGTTTTTCAATTCAACCATTCAGCAATTTTTAATTGAAAGCCAAATGATTTTTTTCAGTAAGTTTAGTATGCCTCATAACAAAATCACTTTTAAGTTCATTACACAGTAATATTTAAATAAAATAGAGACAGAAGTGTTTTCAAATATACATACCATATTATTATATAATACATGTTATATCTAATAGAAGAATCACCTCCTAACTAAAAGTGAGGTGTGCATGGCAGGCAAATGCCTGCGAATGGCATTTTTATGTATCCTTCAAACAGAAGCAATTCAACACCAATTTCCTCCTCTTACATATTGAGCACGTGTTACACATAGAGCATCATACTTGGCTTTGGGATACAGCAATGAGCAAAGTATAGGAATTGCCTTTAAAAACTTGCAGTCTGGTATAAAGATAGGGAGAGAGGGCCAGACAGTGACATGGTAGCTAAGGGCCTGGATCTTACATGGCCAGCTTCACAGTTTGAGTCCCAGAGCTGATAGCTAAAAAACACACCAGGCATGTGTGTACCCAAATCCCAAGGAGAGAATGGAGGAGAAGGGACTGCAGCATGGCCATCCCCCACAGGAGAGGATTTTTTGCTTTCCCTTTCTCTTTCTGCCTCTCTCCCACAAGCACATATGCCCCATAGAAAACATTAAAAGAGAAAGAAAGAAAGAAAGAAAGAATGAAAGAAAGAAAGAAAGAAAGAAAGAAAGAAAGAAAGAAAGAGAAAGAGAGAAAGAAAGAGAGAAAGAAAGAAAGAAAGAAAGAAAGAAAGAAAGAAAGAAAGAAAGAAAGAAAGAAAGAACGAACGAACACTTAACTTTTTAGCAAGATTCTAGTCTGTTTATGGAACTGAGTGATTCTGTTTGGCTAGAGTTTAGATACTAGAAGAATGGAGAGAAATGAGGCTTGAGGTAAACTGGGCTCAGGTCATTAAGGGTCTCAGATAGCTCACTAAAGATATTCAATTCTGAGACCAGCAGTTGGCATAATGGCTATGTCACTGGACTCCCATGTAGTCGACCATGGTTTGAGTCCCAGACCCAGTGGCTTAAACTCAAGCCAGGCACGTGTGTGTGCGTGCCCAAGATCCTGAGAGGAGAACGGAGGAGAAGGGATTGCAGTATGGCCATCCCCCCTGGAGGGTGATTTCTTGCTTTCTATCTCTCTGTCTTTCTGGCGAGTGCATGTGCCCTATAGCAAAAATCTCTCAAAAAAAAAAAATGAATGATATTCAATTCTACCAGGAAGATGCTGAGATATCACCAAATGTCTTTAAGCCAGGAATGAATACTGTTACCCTATGGGAAAGACCATTCTGGCAGCAGTATAAGAATGGACTGAAGTCAAACTTTCCAAACTTTATGGAAACCAGCCACATTTTTGCATAGAAAAACATAGAAAAATACATCATGACTTTCCTGGCAACCTAATAAATAAGAGGAAAGTAAATATAGTGAACAGAAGAACCAAACTGAAATTCTAGAGATGAAACACAGAGTATGAAATAAGGCCTGACTGTGCTTAACAGTGGAGTGGACGTTTCCGAAACAAAGACAAATGGCCACCAGGACAGAATAGCAGAAACGACCCAACAGAGAGAGAGGAGGGGAGATGTGCACAGGGCCTCAGGGCTGTGGGGAACAAGGCGGGCCAACATGTGTGGCTGAAGTCGCACCAGAGGAGAGAAGAGTGACAGAAAAGAGCAGTTAAATAATAGTGACTGTGCCAGCCCACAGCCTGGTAGTTAAGCAGATGGATCCCCCACAGGGCTGACTGTGTTGGGGTCCAGCCTCAGCGGGGTGGGTTGACTCATTGGAGGCGGCGCAGGAACAAAAGACTGAGGCCTCGGTGCCATTTTCGTGCACGTCCTCAGTCAGACACCCTCAGAGATTATTCTTTGAAGAGTGACAACTGCTAGGAATTATCGTGCCTTTTTATTGAAAATGTGATACATGCAAGTAAACGGGTGAGGGGCTATGTGTTCTAATTATTAGCTCATAAAGTTTTAATTATAGGGAACATAGATTCCATTCAGGGTTGGATTAAGGGCGGGTCTATTACAGTTCAGCAATTGTTTGTTTAATGTAGGCAGGTCTTCGGAAACTTTATGGAATGTCATTTTGGGAAATAGCCTCCAGCAAGCAGAGTTAATTATTAGCCAATGCTTGATGGCAGCCATTTTGTAATTACTGAGTATGATGCTAAAATAAAAAGAATCTCAAGTATAGATATTAGTTCCTATGGATCTCAATAAAGAATGATACATAATTTTATAGGGATCTAAAACTTAATTTAAGGAATCCTAATATATTTATTTATTTCACTTAATGAGGGCGGGGGTGTCCTGGGCCAGTTTCGGCCTAATCCTATTTTATGTAAAGAAAAGATTACTTTTAAGCTTATGTTAAATGTATCTTAAAGGGCCTTCTAAAGGTCAAGAAGATTATTTCTGCCTAAATAAAACTTCAGCACACCCTCTATTGTGACCACAGGGATAAAGCATTGTAATTAACAGTAAGTGGTTAGGGCAAAGGAGAGTAGTCGGGGGACTTTCAGAAAATCTTATCACGTACTCAAGATGTATAAGACAGCTATGTAATTCTTTTATAGTAGTATATCAAAGAGTCAGAGGGGGGTCGCTTCCCAGCAAGGCTACCGTAGTTTCCAGAGCATACAGCAAGTGGCCTTGCCAACATGCTGAGTCTACCCAAACTTTGCTCAAAAGTTGGGAGTCTCAAACAGATCCTGGGGCCCCGCCGGGTCAGATTCCTCCATGTCTGTGTGGTTCAAGTCCTGGACCTATGGACTAGAGGAACATGCCAGTGTGTGTGTCCACATGTGCGCACATCTGAAATCCCAAAAATAGGGAGAAATGGAGAAGAGATTGCAGCTCCATGTAGGGGTGGGGAAGAGGCGGTGCTTTCTTGCTTTCTCTTTGTGGTGAGCGCATGTGATCTCTGATGAATTAAAAACAAAAAAAGTTAAAGATTTCTATTTTTTTAAAAAAGAAATAGTAACCAAACATTCTCTAAATTTGATGAAACTATAAATCCAGAGATCCAAGAAATTCAATAAATCTCAAACAACATAATGCACAGAGAAAATGATATCAAGATAAATCTAATCAAATGGCTTGAAAATTATCAAAAAGAAAAAGTTTACAAGCAGTCAGAGATAAAAACACTTAAAGAGGGAGATAAAAATATAAGGGTTATCCCAGACTTCTTGCCAGAAGCAATGCAGACAAGAAAATAATAGAAAGGCATCTTCAAGTTACTGAAAGCCAGGTCCCAGCAGCCTGGTGGTGCAGCTGGTAGCAAACTGAACTGCAGTGCTGGAAGCCACACAGCCAGCTATAGGTCTGGCTCCCCAAGTCATTCTAAAAATACATGGGGCATATGCCCAAGAACCTGAAGACTGAAGGGCTGGGGGAGGGGATTATGGTGTGATGAGGCCCTGTCAGAAGTGCTTCATTCTCTCATTTTCCCTGTCCTTTTAATGGGCATGTGTGTGCTCTCTATTGTGAATAAAATTAATTTAAAAACACAGAGGTGAGGGACCAACAGTTAGCATAATGGCTATGTCACTGGACTCCCATGTAGTCGACTGCGGTTCACGTCCTGGACCCGGTGGCTTAAAACTCATGCTGGGCGCGTGTGTGTGTGTGCCCAAGATCCCGAGAGAAGAATGGAGGAGAAGGGATTGCAGCGTGGCCATCCCTCCTTGGGGATGATTTCTCGCTTTCTGTCTCTCTCTCTTTCTCTGTCTGTCTGGCGAGTGCCCACGCCCTATAGCAAAAAAAAAGCACTCCAAAAAAAAAAAAAACAGGTGAGGGCCAGCAGGTGGCATGGTGGTTGGTGGCTGGATCTCATACAGCTGGCTGAGCAGTTTGAGTCCTACACCGATAGTTCAAAAAACACACTGTGCACATGTGCATGGGTGCCCAAAATCCCGACAGGAGAGTGGACAAGAAGGGGCTGCTGGGGGGAGGAGGGGTCTTTTTCACTTTCCCTCTCTGTGTCTCTGTTTCTCTCTGACTAGCACAAAAACCCTATGGTAAAAATCTAAGAAAAAATAATAAGAAAAAAAAAAAAAAAACCTGTCCATCTAGAATTTTATATCCAGTGAAAATATCCTTAATATTTAAGGAGAAATAAATGCTTCTTCAGACAAAACTTAAGGAAAATTTTTTTACCAGTAGACACATGCAAAAAGAGAAAAAGAAAGTTACAGCAAGTTCATTGGTTAAAGGAATATGACACTAATGGAAACCTGGCTCCACCCAGAGGAAGGAGGGACAGCAGAAACTAGGTGCATACAGGAACCATTTTATCTGACCTTTTATTCCCTTTACCAAGAAACTGGTCATTTGAAGTAAATAACGGTGTGTGGTGGCATTGATAACAGATATACAAGTAAAATGTATGAGAGAAGTAACACAAAGGGGAGGCCAGTAGGTGGCATAGTGGTTAAGGTACTGAACTCTCACAGGCCTACTTACTGCAGTTCAAGTTCTAGACCTGGCAGCTTGAAATTCATGCCATGCGTGCAGAATGGAGAAGGGATTGCAAAGTGGCCATCCTCTCTGAGGCGTGATTTCTCACTTTCTCTCACTGTCTCTCTAGAAAACACAAGTGCCTTATGGAAAAAACTTTAAAAAACAACAACAGAAAACACAAAGGACAGAAGATTACAAAGAGTATTGTAAACTTCAACCCTTACCAAAAAGTTTGGTATAGTATCATTTAAAGTAGACCATGACAGATTAAACTCTAGACCAGGAGGTTGACAGATTATGGCCAAAGGCCCAATCTGGCCTGCTGCCTGTGTTCATAAAATAATTTTTTCGGTGCACAAGCATGCCCACCTGTGATGTACTTAATGTCACTGAACTCCACTTATAAAAATGGTTAAAACAGCAAGCTATCTGTTATATATATTTTACTATCACAACTACAAAATGCAAACAATAGTTCTGAAAGAAACAGAAAACAAAGGACTTCTTCATGTTAGTAAACATAAAAATATATAAATAAATGAGCCCAGCCACAGTGGAGGGGTGACAGGCACTGGTCTACAATGCTGGAGCCACAGAGAAGATCATGGTGTGGATCTTGGGTGGACAGAGACATATCAGGTGCACATGTTCCTCCATGAGCCTAGCTGGCCGGAAGGCTCGGGGGGGTGGGGGAAGTTGCAGAGTGATGAGACTCTCTCAAGGGTGGTACCTGTTTGTCTTTTGCTTATATATATATATATATACACACACACACACACACGCACATATATATAAATACTCCCCCCCAAAAGAAAAATGAAGTGTTAGGGCCAGCAGGTAGTATGGTGGTTGAAGATGCTGGACTCCCACATGGCTGACCATAGTTTGAGTTCCAGACCTGGTGGCTTGCTTTCTCACTTTCCTTCTACCTCTCTCTCTCTCAAATTAAAAAGAAAAAAAAAAAAAAAAGACTTACAGCACAAATAGCAATCCTAAAAGATGGATCAACTATTTTAGTATTAGACAGAACAGAGCTCAGGACAGAAAACAGTACGAGAATGAAAATGTGAACATTTCATAATGATAAAAAGGCCAATTAATCAGGAAGTCACAACAATCATAAATGTGCCATAACAATCCTAAATCATATACCTAATACAAGGGTGTAAAAATAGACATCGCTGAAAAAAGAAAGGTAAGTCCATTATAATTCAAGATTTTATATATAAAATAGTAACAAGATGGAAGACTTGAGCATTATCAACTACCTTGCCCTAATTGATATTTATTAAACATTCCACCAATCAATAGCAGAATACACAAGCCTTTTCTAAGGCACAAGAATATTCACCAAAATAGACAATGTGCTTGGCCAAAACCAAATCTGAATATATTTTAAAGAATGGAAGTTCTACTAAAATCTTTTCTGACCACAACCAAATAAAATTTGAAATCATTAACAGAGATACTCTGAAAATTCTCAAATATTTAAAAATTGATATACTTCTGATTGGTTATACCTACACCAATGGTCAAAGAAGACCTCACAAGAAAAATATTAAAATATTTTGAACTTGATCCAGCCAGTAGCCTAGACTGCTGTATCCCACAAAGCCAATTGAACAGTTCAAGTCCTGGACCCGGCAACTTGAAAACCATGTCAGGCACATGTGCATGCCCAAAATTCCAAGAGGAGAGTAAAGAAGGGACTGTGGCTTGCTCACTCTTTCTCCCTCCTCTCTAGGGAGCACAAGTGCCATATATATAACATATATGAAGAAAATAAGAAAGGTAATAGTAAAAGCCAATAAAATAATGAACGTACAAACAAAAGCAGTACCATCAATGAAGGTAAAATATAATTCTTTGAAAAGATCAATGAAACTGAAAATCCTCTAACTAAACTGATCAAGAAATGAGAGACAGAGAGAGAGGATGCAAATTACCAATATCAAAAATTAAAGTGGGGGCCAGTAGGTAGCACGGTGGTTGGGGCGCTGGATCCCCCCGCATGGCCAACTGCATTTGAGTCCCAGAACTGGCAGCTTGCTTTCTTACTTTATCTCTCTCTCTTGTTAAAACAATAATAATAATAAATTAAAGTAAATTAATCTTTAAAAAAATATAATGGGGCATCAATGTAGATGCTACAAAAGAATACAGTAAGAGGATATTACGAGCAACTGTTCAAATTGACTGTGCTAGGGAGTCCCCGAGACTACTCGGAGGATCAGTGATTCATTAGGAGGACTCAGCAGACTCAAATGTAGTCGGTACTCATGGCTAAAATTTATTACAGCATAAAGGTACAAGAAAAGGTGCATGTGGCAACTAGGTATAAGCTCCAGGTGTCACCTTCCAGTGGAGTCACAAAGGACATGCTTAATTCCTGCAGCTTTCAACTGTGACAGCATATGTAATTTTTGTCTATCAGGGAAGCTCATTAGAGACTCAGTACCCAAAGTTTTATAGGAGCTGTTTCAGGTACCCTCTTCCCAGTGTAATTTTCAAGCCACTAGGTTCAGGGCTTGAACCGTGGTTGACCAGGTGGGAGTCCAGCACCTTAAGCACCATGTCACCTCTGGCCACCAGACTTTTCTTAAATCAGAAATTGATAAACAGATTTGAAAAGTGATATGGAAATGTAAAAGACTACAATAGCAAAAAAAAAAATTTAAAGAGCCACAAAATTGAAGGAATTAGGTCCATTTGAAGATTTCCCAAAAAGCAATATTAATAAAGACAGCAAGGTATTGGCTTAAATACAGACATACAATCAATAGAGCACAATAAATTGTCCAGAAGTTGATCTATATACATTTGGTCAGCCAATTTTCAAAGAAAGTACCAAGGTACAGTGGGAGAAAGCACTTCAAACGAGTGTGCGCTTTACCAACTGGAAATCCATATGTTAAAAAATAACCTTTATCCTTATGTCACACTGCATACAAAAATGAACTGAACTGTATTACAGACCACACTTGCTTTTAAAAAGTGGAGACATTTAGAATACAATGCGTGTGAGAAACCATCACTGACGACCCTAATTTTGTGAGCAGTTGGTGCCCCAAACACACTTGAATTTTACCTGAACCTTCTTGCTTTCCTCAAACTTGTTCCGATCACATAATTTATTACAATGTTCTTGTAACTGAGCATAAGTTTCTTTAAGTGATGATAATTCATTTTTCATTTCACTAATTTCTCCATTAAGTTCTTCAACCTATTGTAAATTTAATCAAAACATGTTATAAATTTAACGGAAACCAACAGGTATTGCATTCTTTATCTCCACAAATTCTACTTGATTCATTTTCAATGTGTCTGCCCTTTTCCTTTTGTTGAGTTTCTTCTTCGTCATGGAAGGATTTTCTCATCTCCCGAATTGGTTTTGTTTCCTCTTGCATGACATTGAGTTTTGTTAAATAAATATCCTGAATTCTTTTTCTGACATTTCAGTGATAGCATTTTTTTCATCCATTGTTGGTGAGGAGTTGGATTCTTTGAGGGGGAGGTATTTCCTGATTTTCTCCTATTTCTTAAGGCTTTGCCTTCATTTTTAGTCACCTGGTGATATGTTCAGTCCTTCCTACTTCTTTGGAGTGCATCTCTGTGGCTGTAGCTCCTGCACTTCTCTACGTGTCAGCTCCATGCCAACATCCCTCCCCTACTGCGGGTGGGAGTGTGGAACCCACAGAAGGAGTCTGGGTCCAGGTTTTCAGAGGGGAGTTTTTCTCCTTTTATTGCTAAGGGAGCTACAGGGAAAGAATTCCTCTGGGTCTCCTATTTTCAGGTGTTTGGTTCTTGTATACAAAAACCTAACTACTCCCAACGTGGATGGAGGTTGAGTTGGCAGAGTGTGAGATAGTAGATGACCATGTAGGCCAAAGAGTCCTTTCTCCCCGACATGGCTGTGAGTGCTTTTCAGAAGAATTCAAGTCCTATAAAAGCACTAAACAAGCCACTCCTTTAGCTAGGCTGGAAAACGTCTTAGAAAAATGACGACACTAGAATTGACTTTGAAAGGTAAGTTGAGCAAAAGATATCCATTCTGGGGACCAGCAGATGACATAATGGTTATGTCACTGGACTCCCACATAGCCAACTGCAGTTCAAATCCCAGACCCAGTGGCTTAAAACTCACGCCGGGGACATGTGTGTGCATTCCCCAAATCCCGAGAGGTGACTGTAGGAGAAGGGATTGCGGTATAGCCATCCCCATGGAGGGTGATTTTTTGCTTTCTGTCTCTCTGGCAAGTGCATGCATCCTATAGCAAAAACTCCAATAAATAAATAAGTAAATAAAATAAAGATACCCATTCTTCTAAAAAGCGCCCTACACCGTGTGGGTAATTCCATATTATTTGTTCCTTGCGAGTAGGAGCTCTTCTATAACCACATAAGCATCTTTGAAAAGCCAGTGCCTTGAACAGTGTCTAACTCACGGCATGTGCTCTGTAAATATTATGAACCTAATTCCTCCTGTGACCTCTCCTTCCCTCGGTCATTTTCTTTTGTTGCCAGAGGGCATGTGAGTTCCTCAGAGAGAGAGAGATGCACCCCTACACAAACACAATGGGGTCTGGTCATGCTTTTCCTCCGTTTACCCATCCCATCAAGATTTTGGCCATGCACATACATGTTCCCAGCATGTTTTTCAAGCCTCAAAGAGTCAGGACTCAAACCCCAGTCAGCCATGTGAGATCTGCCCCCATGTGCAGTTACTTAACCACTGTGCTACAGGTCTGGTCCTCTCGACATAATTTCTGAACGTCCACATTTAGTCTTTTTTGTCTGTCAATATCTATGGATTCAATATTCAGTGAGTTTTATTAACATAGTATTTTCTTTTACTATTTATTTGAATAACCAAATGCAAGGGGTCTTCAGGGAATTCAAGGAGGCCCAGCTGCTGTGGCACAGCGGCTGACCCCAAGCTCGGTAAGGCTTGCACGGCTGGTCATGGGCTGGATGCCCAGGCTGGCTGGCAGACACACAGGCGCCGGGATCCTGAGCAGCTGGAGATCTGGGGAAAGGGAATCGCAGCGTGAAAGTCACTGCTGAGGGTGCTTTTCTCCTCCCTCTCTTCCTTCCCCTCTCTCTTTTTTCTTTCTCTCTCTCTCTTCTTTTCTCCACAGTCTCTTTCTCTCTCTCTTTTCCTCCCTCCCTCATGTGCACACACACTCTGGCATAAAAATGAAGTTCATGGGACATGCCTGCTATGGAGAAACTGTATAGATTTCAAATTTTTGTATGAAAACAAGTCATACTTTAATTTCATTTTCCACAAATTTTGTAGTCCTCTTGTATAAAACAGCAATTTAAGTGAGTCCAACTTATTTTTGCCTTTATGTAATTTTAACCCAACTTGATTCAGTTTGAGTGGCCATACTTACCACTGTGTTTCACTAAAGGATGGTGAAAACCTTACAGAGACACAAATATAACTGAAGAGTAGATATGATCTCTACTCTTGGCAAAGCAGTTTCTTACTTAACTATATTGTTTAGTATTGATGCATTAAAGAAGTCAAAATCATTATAGAATCTAAAAATTTTAAAATAAATCCAATTTTATACCAGTGTAGAGATGAAGGCCTTGCTAGTGAAGCCACTTACTTTTCTTAATTCAATCATTTTTTCTTTTTCTGGGGGAGACAGGCTGCTTGGAGTCTCACCAGAGGAAATGAATGTTTAATTGATTTTGTTGGCATGTTTGGCATATATAAATATACACTTCCTTTTCACTGTGTACTTTTCGTCATCCTAACAGTGCCACCTCCACGGTCATGTAAACAGTGGGGAGGTGCTAGGATGCAACGTCCACTAACCAGAGTTGAAATGAAGATCAGCATGTTTGCTGCTTAATAACAAAGTTCACCAAAGTGCAGAGATTTCTACGCATTTTTAGTATTCTAATACAATTAAGTACAAAATGCTTTCCTAAGATTTGAGTAGAGCTTATCAACATCATCTGTGAAGATATGACTGTACCAAACTAGAAATCAAGAAAACATACCAGTTGCAAATGAATCAAGAGTTACTTACATAACAATTTAAATCAAATAGAATCATATGATGTTATCAAGCCAGTATTTAGCTACACATTACATTATTATAGGAGTCTAAAATATAACATACTTCTCCAAAATGTAACTTCAGAAACTCATAAACAGTGACTTCCAATTATGTTAGTTCTTCAAAAAGAATTTTAAAAGCAATGAAAATTTGTATTAAAGAGGAATGATTAATTTGGGAGTCCACCAATTCTTAAAGTGAAATTTTTTATTGCCCAACTTGAATTTACATCATTATACACTATTATTTTATTACCGACTTCACTAAAATTAAAACTTAATGTAAAATAAACAGATGAAGTTTACAGAAGTAGCCATGCTTATAACATATTGACTCATGATAAAATGTTAATACTACACAACTCAACCACTGCATACATGTGCTTAACATGTCTCTAACACTGCTTATCAAAATTGCTGAGGAAAGCAAAATAGATTAGCAACAATACACACATAATTCTTTATTTTAATCATTTACTAAAATACTATGCTATGGTTTTATGAAGAGGTAAAGTACTTTTCTTGTCACACATGATAGGTTGTTCAAATTCTATACACACACATACACACATATATGTGCAAGTGTATATATAGGCAAACATGAAAACATTATAGGGAATTTTATTAAGTTTAGCATTTAAAAAGCATTTGCTTTTTGGAAATATGAGTGCAAGAAGAAAACATGCCTGACTTTATTCCTGTATTATTTTTGCAATATTTTCTTAGCATGAAATAGTTATTTTAAATGTCTATAACTACTTAAAATATTCCAAAATTTCAATATGTAATAAACCTACATGTCTTCTCCAAGTTCCTAGTGCTTTCTCGTGCTCATTCTGAAGATTCAGGAACTTTTCTTCATTTTCTTTTACCTTCTCCCTTTGCAGCTCATTATCTCTTTCAAGGGTCTGCAATAAAATTAATTATCCAAAAAATAATCAATACCACATTAATGAATTTTGATGTGTTTTATATTGCTTGGACCTTTGCTTCTAACATGCTGAAAGAGCCATGCAGATCAGTGATAATGTGCTATCTCAACAATAATTTTCATAAATTAACAGAAAGGTGCTTATAGTTTAGCTAACAGGAATAGGGGGAGGCTATGATAAAGAAATGGCTATAAAAGGGTATAAAAACATTGCCATTATTCAGTTTCACTGCATAAGTTTTAATGTACTGAAAAAAGTAATATAAAGTACAGCACTGAAAAGTATGAAATGTAGCATAGTCCAGCCTAACCCTACTAAAAACAAATTTAACCACTACAGAATATTTTTTCCTATCTGGTCATTTTATAAACTGATTGGCTAGAAAATCCTTAAATACAACTTTAATTTTAATTTCAAATTTGCATTTAAATATTTACCATAGTAACTTAATTACTTCATTGAATGATTACCATAATATAATCACTACCAACACCCCTAAAAAACCTTTAAATAGTAAAAATACTACCAAGTGTTTTCTAAACCTATGGTTTTAAAATTATTAAGTCAGTGTCACCAATATTATTAGGTTCCTTCACTATCTGCTGATACTCCAAATAAACTTCTGTACAAAGATAAATAGTAAAAACTCTTACCTACATGTCTAATATATCTTGAATTTCTGCATTCATTTATCTTTACTAAAGCCATGTACACTCAAGATAAAAATTTCAAGCCATGCAAAAGACTATAAAAAGAAAAGGTAAAATTATCCTCTCTCCTTCTCTTCCCTAGAAAAAACAACCACTGCACCACTGCAGCAGTTTCTTATAGATCCTTCTAGAAATTGTCTATAAGTGGGACCAGTAGTTGGCATAATGGCTACATTGCTGGACTCCCATGTAGTCGACTGCGGTTCAAGTCCCAGACCCAGTGGTTTAAACTCACACCGGGCATGTGTGCATGTGTGCCCAAGATCCCGAGAGGAGAATGGAGAAGGGATTGTGGCATGGCCATCCCCCCTCTCTCTCTGTCTTTCTGGCAAGTGCAGACACCCTATAGCAAAAACCTCTCAAAAAAAAAAAAATAAATTGTCTATAAACATACAAATATATGTTATATATGTTACATGTTTTAAATACAGATGAGGCTCTATCATACATATTTGTTCTAAAATCTGCTGCTTTACAACAAATAAATCTTGCTGCTTATTTACTGTATTATACATGGGTCCCTCTCATTTCAAAGACTTCATAATATTCCATCTACTTAAAGAATTCTCAGTTACATCCAGAATATTAATATGTAAGACATCATCACACAAAAATTTGGCAACTTATTTAATAAAAAGCATTTTGTAATGTTAACATGAATATTCTCCTTGAAAGCACAAGGGACTATGCATTTTTACAGCACCCAATAATTACCTATTCTGACTGCCTGTATTTCAGGATAATGTAAATATTTTTATGCAAGTCTCATTTCCTTAATTTATAGATACATATAATAGGGCAGTTTCTAAGTAGTCCCATGGTATATAATTAATAAAGTGTTTGGTATTCTAACAGTCTAAAATATTTTATAATATCTATTCATACTGATAACATTCTGTATTTTGAAAGATTTACAAAGTTGAAGGAAGTTATGAAGAATACACCAGTCTCGGGAACCAGCAGTTAACATAATGGCTATGTCGCTGGACTCCCATGTAGTTGACTACGGTTCGCGTCCCGGACCCGGTGGCTTAAAACACGCTGGGCACGTGTGCGTGCGTGCCCAAGATCCCGAGAGGAGAATGGAGAAGGGATTGCAGTGTGACCATCCCCGCTTGGGGGTGATTTCTCGCCTTTTGTCTCTATGTCTCTGTCTGTCTGGTTAGCGCATGCGCCCTATAGCAGAAACCTCTCCAAAAAAAAAAA